TGGCTGGGGAGCTCCCAGGGGGTTTGCAGGACAGCATCTTTGAGACTGAGGCAGGAGCACCCCCTCTTATGTAGAGACCACTGTGCAGGAGGGGCCTGGGAAGGGGACAGGGACAGTGAGGCCCACCCCAGACCTGAGGTCATGGTACAGGAAGGAGCAGCTGGAGGCCCAGCATCCTGGAGACATGAGACCAGCACAACAGTAAACCGGCCCAGCCAGATACTCAAACCAGAAATGCACGTCAGCAAAGACCTGTCTCCTGCTGGGTCCATCGTGTCATTATCCTGAGCTGATGTTGGGAGGCGCAGCTGGGAGGAGTAGGTGAAAACTCTAGTTATCCACGCGGGCTTGCACTTTGGTTCAATATGAGACAATGAACATAGTGCTGGCTTAGGAAGTGTTGTGGATCTGGGTAAAATAGGTTGAAAGAAACCTGGGGTAAGGAAGGGAGGAGACATCGTGAAGATAACAAGGTCAGTGTGCCGGCCACTGAGGATCTGAGAGGCAGAGGCAGGGATGTACTGCTCCATGGAAGCCAGGCTGGAGAAGGGTTGGGGGCAGCCTGGTGTCCAGGTGTGCCATGGGGCTATAGGGCCATAGACCAGAGGCTTTTAGGCACTGAATATGTGACCTTAGCAGGTGTGGGGTGACAAGAGGAGCCCCAGAGCCTCCTCAGTGGATGAAATGAGGTTCAAGCTACCCCTGGGTTGATCAGCTTTCACTAGACGCTGGCATGCTGTGGAAGATGCCTGCTGGGCCCAGCTGATGCACGGCTCCAGAGCCAGAAGTGCTGGCCTGGCTAACAGAGCTCTGTGGAGACCCAGAGAGGCTGGGAGGGGAGGCTTGGGGGGTGAAGAAGCCCTACTGGGCACCTAGGATGGTTGAAGCAGGTGGCAGTGCAGGGGAGGGACAGGTGCAAGGACTGCTGGGAGCTGGAAAGGACAGAGAGGAGCAGGGAAGAGTCCTGCAAAGGGGAGGCTCCAGGGCTGGCAGCACAAGGAGAAGGTTCACATGCGCGTGCACGAGAGAGA